TTATTCACACTTTATATTTTATGATTGTTATGTTGTGAAGTGAGTTTAGAATGTGTCTTACTATGTTAGTGTTTTCTCAAATAATATGAATTTTAGTTTTTTTAAGCTGTGAATTATGATGTTTTTAATGTTTCAACTATTATTTAATTTTGTTAAACTGAGTTTTAACTGTGAATGAGTAAATTAATATGTTTTTAAGTTGTAAATACTATGAATGAGATTTTTGAATTGTTTTAATAAACTGTGAATGAGAATCCTACAATGTTTTATTAAACTTAGAATTTTTGTGGTGCACACAAGGTATTTATGAAATGCTTCAACAATTGTGAATAAGACTCCTAAACTGCTTTATTAAGCTGTGAATTATAAAGTCTTGAAATGTAAGTTTTAATTGGAGAATATGATTGTAAATGTATATTTTTTTTTTGTATTAAACTTTGAATGTATAACATTGAGCTGTGAATTTTATGTATTAAAATGTGAATTAACTATATTAAACTGTGAATTGACAATATTAAACTATGAATTGACAATATTAAACTGTAAATTGACTGTATTAAGCTGTAAATTGATTGTATTAAGCTGTGAATTGCCTGTATTAAGTTGTGAATTTTCTATGAATTCTTTGTTTGCTTCTGAAATATGAGATGAAAGAAACATTATACACATATAATTTTATCTAATTTTGAATGAAGTATGTAAAATTTAAATTGTAAATATTTATGTAAATAAACTTTGAAAGAAACACTAGGCTATTGATATGAAGGTATAAATGTAAGTTTTAAGTTGAGAATATGGTTGTGAATGTATAATTTTTGTGCATTAAACTGTAAATTGTTTATATTAAGCTGTGAATTTTGTGTATTGGACTATTAATTGATTATATTAAGATGTGAATTTTATGTTAAAGTATGAATGATTTATATATTAATTTTCTTGTAATAAACTAAAAATTGACTGCATTAAGTTGTATAGTTTGTATTCTCACTTTTAGTGTTTCAATATGCATGAATGTACAGCACACACTAAACTGTGTATTCTGGAATTAATTGTTTATTAAATTCTGAATATCCCATTCTTAAACTGTGATTCTGTCTTCTACCACTATATTTTTTTGACCGAAATTCTACCCTTTCGAAAAAAATTGAATTTCTCCCGGCTACCTCCATAATTTTTTTTTTTACAAATTTTGGTATCTTTGGCTCCAAAATAAGATCCTATGTATTAAAAAGTATTATTAAAGAATGATAACTACAACGTTTGTTTTATTAAACTGTGAATACGACCATAAAATGTCATTGAATTTGATGTTAGTCCAACGGTGGTCCGACGGTGATCCAACGGCGGTCCATCGGTGGTCCGACAGCTAGCCAACCACCGTTACAACACTAGGTGTAAATAGGAATGTGAAAGTTTGCTTAATATTTCTTCATGTTCGCTATTTACCATAATGTCCTTAATGAAAACATTTTAAAAAAATGGTTATGAGGGTTCTTAACATTTTCGGTGTTCTCATTTGCCTCACTCCCATTATATATATATATATATATATTATATACTATATATATATATATATATATATATATATATATCTATATATACTATATATATATATATATATGCTAGGTTCATGTGTTCCTAGCATCTATTGTGTGCTCGTAAGCACAAATTTGGACCAACGGATGAAATTAATCAATGATCATGATTTGAGAGTGTATGATATTACAATTAGATAACGTGTACCATATAATCACACAAATTTTAGCATAAATGTATTTTAGACAATTAACTATATTTATAAAAGGAAATTTTCGGATTTTTAGGGATAATTAATTCTCCTATTTTAAAATCGAATTTTTTTAATTAATTTTATTTTAATTCTAATGTAATGTGTAAAATAACCGATTTTATTCTGTCATAATTTTTTTTTGTTAGAAAGGATGTTAGTTTTTCGGAATTTTATTCTCTTAGAATCTTATTGAAGAATAACAAAATTCTTGAATCCTAGGTTGAAGAATAACAACATTCTAATATATTTTTATACATCCGAACTTAAATACAAATTCATACATATTTTTACAGACTAAAAGCCTTATATATTTTAATATAATTATACATATTCTAAAAGAATATTAACAAAAATGAATAAAATTCTTAAAAAATAACAACATTGTTAAACTGTGAGTATGATCAACTTTATTCATCTTCTTCAAGTTATTCCTAGTAGGTCTTCAACACCTTCTTCCGCCACCATTCCTATCACAAATACAACAAAAACTAAGAATGGTTAAAAACATGTTACTTGCAATACCTATCACTCTATATATTCTGGTAGGATACATAAAATATGACAGAATACATAGAATATATTCTGGCAGAATACATAGATTTTGTTCTGACAGAATACATTCTGACAGAATACATAGAATACATTCAAAAGTATCGTATTTACTATTAATATAATTTTAGATTCCAAATATACAATAACGAGGGGCAATAGAAATTGGAATTCAAAATCACAAATTGAACCAAAATAATACACAGACAAATTAATTATCTTTTTAAACAATGTTCTTGAACAAGATAAGTAGCTTTCACCACTCTGTGTTGGCATATGAAATACAACCTTTACTATGTTGACATATGAAATCAAACAAAATTAATTCACTGTGTTGGCATATGAAATCAACCGCATCAATATATACACAATATTGTGTGATTTTGATTAATATAAAAAGCCATCAATTATATGAAGTCAATCAATAACAATTAGAATATAACTTATAATACCTTCCTGTCGATTCTAATCCAAATAATTCAATCTGTATTGGGTTTGACATACACTAATACACAAAATCCAAATAATTCAATCTGTATTGGGTTTGACATACACTAATACACAAAGGAATAGAAATTGTAAATTCAACACAAACATTTTTTAAATCCAATGAACATCAGCGTCGTCAAAGGAAAAAAAATCCAAATTGAAGAAATTCAATTGGAATTTACAAGTGCTCCTCCGTATTAATCTCATTTTATTGCACACAAATCAAAATCAAATCTCAAATCATCTATCAACTAGTGTATAAGAATAGTTATCCTGGAAGATTTATCTATAACCTAATAATTGCACAAATAATAATTTCAAACCTTAAATGATCGGGAGAAATATAGTGGTCAGCAAATTAGGCCGTACCCAATGTGGCAAAGCGCAATGGCGGACAGTTACGCCGGTAGCCACAGGGAAGAAGGATGGCGGCTGTGATGGTGGAGTCGTTGGGTTTTTGCGCCAGTGGTGTAGTCGTGTGATGCCGCTTGTGAAATAGCCGACTTGCTTGATTTCTTTCTCTGTTACGATCGATGTACAAGTGGCTGAAGAAGAAGAACAATCATGTGATATAAGAGAAATATTAGGTCAACGTATTTATTTTATTTCCTTAAATGCATATATTTTATTAAATGATATCACTAATTGAAAGTGCAAAAAACCGAAAATACCTTTTTTTATTTAATTAATTATTTAATTATTTGCTAATTTCTGATTGGTGCATTCAGGAAAACAATAGTTGTTAGAAATATTTGAACATATCTCCTCTCTCTCTCCTCTTCGCTCTTTCTATATATCTCTATATATATATATATATATATATATTATATATATATATATCTATCTATATCTATCTCTATCTATATATATATCTATATATATATCTATATCTATGCCCGTTCAATGAAGCCATAAAAGGTTGGCGCCATGCGCCCTTCCTCGGGCCCCCTCCATTCGAATCTGCAGCTTAAACATTTAAGCATACTGGGAGACAGAAAAGATAATATTCATATATGAATAAGTATATACTTATTCATATTTGAATAAGTATATTCATATATGAATAAGTATGTGTCTACTCACAAATGATTATTCATATATGAATATGACAGTTGGTGGCAGAGGTAGTGGCAGGGGTAGCAGTGGCGGTGGAAGTGATGGTAGTTGCAGCGGTGAGGAAGATGGTGTGGTAAAGGTGGCAGAGGTGGCGCTGACAGTAGCGGTCGTAACATCGGTGGGTGGGTGACAGAGGTGTTGGTGACGATAATGATGTTGATGTTCATGACGATGACAATGACGGTGGCGGAGGTGGTGGTGGTAGTGGTGGCGTGGAAGAGGTGGTAGTTTTTTTTATATCTTTAAAAAATAACGTTAGTTTGATATTAATATTTAAAATAATAATAAAAAATAAAGTAATATGTAAAGATATAGTTTTTTATATCTGTATTTGTATAATTTTAAACATTTTTATAATTAATTTTTATGATATCAATTTCAATAAACTGTTTTCAAATTGTTTGTATATTTAATCAAGTATATTAAGTAATAAAAAATAAAAAATTAAAAGTTAATATTTAAAAATAATTAAGATATAAAATAAATTATTGTGAAACTAATGGTCAAATGAACACCCTATATATTATATACTATATATAATATCTATATATATAATATATATCTCTTTGCCCATTATTTTCATAATAATTTATTTTATATCTTAATTATTTTTACTATTAACTTTTAATTTTTTATTATATATATATATATATATATATATATATATAGCTCATCTATATATCTATATATATATCTATTATCGCTCTATATCTATCATATATATATATCAAGGTTGCAGAAATCGGGATTAATCGTGGATTAATCGCTTGGCGTTCTGCAACCGATTAGGCTTCTGGGTGTTGTTGAACGGTAATTGGTCCATTCCGGTCAACCCGGGCTTGGCAGTCTTGGTGGTCAACGACGGTCAATGGCCGTCAAAATTAGTCAAATTCCCAAGGTGGTCCAAATTAAAAAAAAAGGCTCCAAGGCAGTCAAATGTTAATTTCGTTCGTCTAACCCCGTATCGCATTTCATCACGTCGCTGTTTTTTGTCACTTATTCACTTCTCAGCTCAATCGCTGCGCACCGCGTAAGAGCCCGGCGATACACTGAAGCGATGCCCACCGGTCTTCGTCGAACCCTCCATTGGACCCCGCGCACCTCCAGCAAAAAGAACTCTACCGCCGACGCTTCATCCTTCAGGTTTGCGATTCGATTTCTGTTTCTCATTGCAACCGAACTCGTATTTCTCCCATCTAACGTTTCGTTTTTCTTCCACAAATTGATGAGTTAATGTTGACTGTTGAGCCGATATATCACAGATATGTGTTTCACTTCTTCCAAAAAAATGTTGAATTCTCCCATCGGTTTGCTGGACAGCGATTTCTGCAACTATTACATATTAATCGATCTGTTCTTCATATTTCTCCCATTTGTTTGTATCTATTTCAGTATTTTAGTATATGGATAGCGATTTCTGCATTAACCTGTTTGCTGGGTACCGATTTCTACTTTCTGCATTAATCTGTTTGTACCGATTTCTACTTTCTACATTAATATGTTTGCTGGTATCCTTCTTCTTCTTGTCTGCAGTGGGAGCTTCATAATCAGCTTGAGTCTCATTTAGTCCTTCGAATTGCATTTATAAAAACAAATAAAAATGAATCACTGTACAGTGTTTATTGACTTATTCATTTATATTGTTTATTTGTTTTCCTTTCGAATTAAGAGTAGTTTTAGTGGCTGTGTGTTTAAAAAAAACTATATTGCTTCCCTTAGTAGTACAGTTAACTTATTGTGATTTATGACTTGCTGTTATCTACTTGTTGCATCTATTCTTGATTAATGCAGCCAAATTTCGCATTCCCATTTGTTTGTATCTGTTATTGATTAATTGTTGTAGTTCTGGTATCTAGCTGTGTTATTAACTTATTGTGATTTTTGCTGTATTTTTTTGATGTATATAACAGTTTCCAATAATGACATCCAAAAATTCGACTTCACCATCAGTGGGATCAACCGCGAGCGGTGCTCATAAACGGAACTCAGATGATATTGGTTGGGAATATGGTTTTTGCCCGGATAAAAACAAAATGGATACAGTGAAATGTAACTTGTGTGGAAAAGTGTTTACCGGGGGGGTTACTAGATTGAAACAACATATTGGTCACGTGCCGGGAAATGTAAGTCGATGTCCAAACTCTACAAAAGATGATTAATTGAGAATGCGAAATTTTATTAACGAAGGGAAGATAAAAAAGAAAGCTAAACTCGAACATGATAAGGCCTTAAGATCGGAGGCAATACAAGTGTAAAATGATAGTGTTGAAATGGATGAAATAGAAGATTCTTTAGGGTCGAAAGCACCAAGTTATATAGGCCCCATGGATGGCTATGCGAACAAAATAAACTCTGAAATTATGAAGGGAAAGGGAAAAAAGTTGATCTTAAAGATGTTGTTCGGAAAGAAACAACTTTAGCGTGTCATAAATTCATTAGTAGGTGGGCATATAAAACTGCAATTCAGTCATGCACTGGAATATGATAGCTTCAAGATGATAATAGAATTTTATATCTATCAATTTAATAATGTGTTTTTGTTTTAAAATTATAGCAAGATGGTGGGGACTTTTTGGTGGCTCAACTCCTCATTTGAAAAGGATTGCAATGAGGATTCTTTCTTTAACTAGTAGTTCATCGGGTTGTGAAAGAAATTGGAGCACGTTTGAAGCGGTTAGTTATAAAGTTGTAATTTTTAAATAGGGTTTAGATCATTTTTGGTCACTTAACTTTTGGTTTTGTTCTCATTTGGTCACTTAACTATTTTTAAGTTTTAAAAGGTTATCAAACTTTTAACTTTGTGCTCATTTAGTCACTTAACTTTTTGTTTGGTCACTTAACTTTTAAATTTGTGCTCATTTAGTCACCTAATTTTTAAAATTATGCTCATTTAGTCACCTAACTTTTAAAATTGTGCTCATTTAGTCACTAAACTTTTAAAAAAATTTGAAAGTTTAGTGACTAAATGAGCACAATTTTAAAAGTTAGGTGACTAAATGTGACCAAACCAAAAGTTAAGTGACTAGATGAGCACAAAGCCAAAAGTTTGATGACCTTTTAAAACTTAAAAATAAGTGACCAAATGAGCACAAAACCAAAAGTTAAGTGACCAAAAATGACCTAAACCCTTTTAAATATCAAGAACGTTTTTAACCTTTTTTTATGTCTACTTTTATAGGTACATACAAAGAAACATAATAGATTGGAGACAAATAGATTGAACAATCTTGTTTATGTTCAATTTAATTCTAATCTAATGGAAAAAAACAAAAAGAGAAAAGATAGGACTTTGGAAGTGCTTTTAGAAAATGATTCTCATGCAGCTTAAGAATGGATGATAGATGGAGATGACGGTGATGAAGATGAAGTTGACCCCGAAACAGTGATGGAAGCAATTGATGAAGCTCTTGGGACTAATAATAATCAAGTACCCCGTAAAAGTTCAACACTGAGAGAACTTTTTGATGAAGATTTCAAATCTGACAATGAGGAGCAAATGTTTGAAGAAGATGAATATGACTCGGGTGGAGTTAAAATAGTGGAAGAAATTGAAGATTAAAAGAATATGGACATTTAAATATATGAAAATGTGTGTTTCTATTACTATTAAACTTATTTTGGACTTGTAATATGATGGATTATGACTTAAATATTTAAATACTAGTTATGACTTTTTTTTATGGTTATTTGCTTAGCATATATTTAATTTTTTTATTAATAAATAATGGTCCCCGACTAATCCCCGTCGAGACCGATTAATCCCTTAACCCAGTCGACCGTCGAGCGATTTCTGCAACCTTGATATATATATATATATATATATATATATATATATATATATATATATATATTGTGGAACGTCTTATGAACAATACCCTGGGGTACTGTTCATCGGCTAACCATTTTTCAGCTGTTGATCGGCTTATGCCTTATCGGCTCCTTCCCCACCGACTCTCTCATCTAATATCTTCCTGAATGTTCCAATTTCTTCAGGCTGATTTATTCTTCTTCATCTCCCTTCCTTCTCTTGACACCGCCTTCCTCTGCTTTTGACGATCCCTCCCGTCTCTCGCTAACCACAATTCCTCGATTTTCCGTCAAATATCTCTGGATACCCTTTGTCAGCTTCTAACACTGACTCTTCTATTTTCTGTTTGGTTATCTGATTTCATATCCCAGGGTTTTATTTAGTGCTTCGACTTCTGTTTGAACCATATAAGACATCGGCTGCTCTCTTTTGGACGACAATTCCTCCAATTTCTGTCAAAAATTTTCGAAAACCCTTCGTCGGCTTCCAACACTGAATCGTCGATTTTCCATTTGGTTATCTGGTTTTATCTTATGTTGTTTTTTTAGCACTTCAAACTCTCTTTTGAACAAAAGTTTATTGAATTCCCGTCTTCTTGAAAGAGCAACACCATCATCATCATCATCCATAGGTAAGTTTCCATTTTGCTGATTACAACTTCACTTCTTTTCTTGGTTGTATTCACTACCCCTTCCTGTACTCACTAATTCCTATCGATTTTTACTGACCATCAAAACAACACAAACCACTCCCGCGCTGCAAGGCAGCGATGACACAGGTACTTCTTTTTCTTCTCATGGATTTTGAGAGAGACGAATTTCGGTAATTTGAAAAAATGAAGACGATGAAGAAAGGTAAAAGTGACGACCTTTGTAGGGTTATGAATCCCCAATGGCATCACTTCCGACCGAATGCACGACGCGCGCCGACATAGACACGCCCTCAGATTTTGACTATATATATTCCTTCGATTTCAGCCTCATTCTTCACTCCCCTCACCCACAAACCTATGGATTTCCTCTCGTATCCTTATACCCTTTTCTCCCAAGTTCCTGAACCCTTTAGCGAAGCCCTGTGGTGTTAGATAGCCGGCGAATAGAAGCTCCTGGATCAGATTTCTACCTACATAATTCCCGGTTTTCATCAGAAATCTCAGTAAGTTAAGCTACACTTATTTTATTTAAGTGTAACTTTTAATTATAGTCATAGTTGTTATTATGAATCTATAATTAAGATTTATCAGTGATTCCAAGTCATTATACTGATTGATCTACTTACAGGATAATGTCTAGGTTGGATTTAGTGAGGTGTTTAAAGTGAGATTTCCAAACAGTATACTTTGTATACCAAACGAACCCTACCTCCGATATGATCCTACCTGGTTCTTCCTTACTTGATAGATCTTGATGTAGACATTAGGGTTAGTGAGGAATCTAGACTATCATTAGTCTCCAGGAATATAAGACTAAGAATTAGTAATGTGAACCTAGGTCACGTCAGTGGAAAAGATAAAGTACCAAGATGAAGTTATGCCCAAATTCCGAGGCATCCACTCTTATTAGGTGAGTGCATAGTTATTTTCATCTTACACATAGATATGAAGTATCTAAATAATTAATTTCTATATGTGCTTATGTGAAAAGATATTATGTGTTAGATGAAATGTTATAAAGATAAGTTTATATGATTATACCGTATATGTATTTTTATAAATATTATACATTGGGTAATGAAGGGTAGTGAAAGATGCCATAGTATGATGAAAAATGTAGGCAATGATAGAATGCCACAACTTTAGAACTGGTACTAGTGTACTAACGATATAGGAATGGTACTAGCGTTCCAACGATGTAGAAATGGTACTAGTGTGCCAACGATGTAGGAATGGTACTAGTGTACCAATGATGTAGTCACCTAACAAAGTATAGGTGATGACCACCAGACTATTCATGATCGTCCCGTGGAACAATGGCAACGATGGACTTCATGCCTATTAGATAAACAATGGAAGCGAAGGACTTCGTGCCTATTCCTTAGGACAAACCCTTGGGAATTGTCACACCCTTAACCAGGACGGCGGAAACATCCGGGGGCGGATGACGTCGTTGTATAGTATCATAACAGTTGAATATAAATGAAACATAGCAACCCAAGCGACATACATTGAGAATACTAACTTACATAGTTTACATATTGTACTTGTTCATAAGTTACACAAAAGTGACAAAAGTAATATTCCTTAATGTTGCATCACTTGATCTCAAAACAGAGTTGATTACCTATTACTGGTTCCCTGAGAATACAAGTCATTTTGAAAAACGTCAACTATAAAGTTTGTGAGTTCATAAGCATTTTTGTATAAAAATAGATTGGTAATTGTTTAAAATGGTTTTTGTAAACATTCAGAAAATCCGATATTTTCTATAAACTGTATTGCTAGTCTTATATCCAAAACTAATGAAAATGTATGTATGACTCTTGTATCCTTCCTTGTAAAATGATAGTGTATGTATGTATGTTCCAAGAAAATCAAATATTTTCTTATAAGTAAATTGTAGTCTTAAACCCTAAGACCATAAATGTAAGCGATTGTGTACTGAAAATGATATGTAGTTTTATATTTTAATAAAACCAGTGAAGTGTAGGCTTCTCGTAAATCAAGATAGTATTGTTAATCCCTATGCGAGTTATTATAACCATGCTAAATGTGATTGTTATGCCTGTACGTCGTTCTTTAGGCATCAGAATCGGTAAGATATTTGTCACCCTAGACGGTCCGTCTAGCTGTAGCGAACAACTCAAGTGTGGGGTTGTCAATCCCCGTATAGATCTATACACAACTGTCTCGCTCTCCCTCCAAGAGACTCTGGTTATAATGCAGGACTTAAAATGTATGCTAGGTAGGTACGGTGAAGTGAATGTATCACTAGAGCATTAACGGATTACGCGAACTACGACTCCCTTTTATTATATAATGAAATGATTTCACTATTTGAAAATTTAGGACAGTTGTTTTGTGACACGCGTTTTATAAGTTTCATGACATACGTTTTATGACATGTGTCTTATGACACGCGAACTATACTGTCATCAATTTGTTTTGTATACCATTTTGTGTAAACTATTTATAACACTCTATATAAATGGTCGATAGTGAATATGTCCAGTAGTAATATATGTTGGAAAAATAGCATAATATCCTTGTGTTTAACCCCATCCAGAAAGTGACGACAATGATTACGACCATTTTTACTAGAAAAGTTTATTTTTAGTAAAAATCATCAAAAATTTGTAGTGTTGTATATGTCGTATTTTTCCGGTTGAACTTTCGTGACATAAAATAGTTGAATTTTGTCATATTTACCATATGGTTCACGATTTTTATAAAAATAAACTATATGGTGACTTCAACATCTTATACTTATATAAATTTTACTTTATAAAAGTAGTACATGTAAATATCCAAAGATCAAACATTTTTGGACTTATATAAACATATGTTTTTGTTATACTTGCGTGTGTATATATATATATATATACACACACACACCACACACACACACACACACTATATATATATATATATATATATACCTATAACCACGATTTAAAAATGTTGATTTTAAAATATGTCACGATTTTCATGATGTTAACCAATGATATCAACCATATTATACAATAAATTGTTCCATATTTAACATATAATCATAGTGCATGCACGTATCCAATGGACAAATTCATTTTAACTTATAACAAGCTTGTAAATCACGATTTCTATGTGTGTATGCATGAGGTTTTCGACATAATTTGTCCAAAACATTCCCTAAGAAAGTTGGTGCATGAAAATATCCATTGGTTAAACGAAACTTGACTTGTATCCCCCCTCCCCCCCCCCCCCCCCCGAAAAGCATGAAAAACACGAAAAGCTTGGGGGTATGACGCTCATCTTGGTATTTTCATGGGTTGTAGGAAGGAAATGAAGATGATGTCGAGCTTATGATGAGGTTGACGATCTTAAAGTGCTTCTTGGAAAGGTTGGTACTCTAAAAGCTAACTCACGAAAGTGTGTGTGTAAGCAATATGAATTTGACAACAAAATGTATGAAAATACTTGAGATTTATGAAGAACTTACCAACAAAACCTAGGACCGACTTTGAGGTGATGATGCTCGAAAATGGCTTTGTTCTCAGAGAGATAAGGGAAGTAATGAACAAAAGAATTCAAGTGGCAAGAGTGGGATGCCCACTCTCGGCCGAAACCCCTTTAAATAAGAGGGGAAAGTTGCTTGTTTAATGTTTGATGGGTTATTAGGTGTCATGCATGGAGACATGAAGTATAAGAGCTTGCATGGGGTGGAAGTATGAAGGATAATGGAATGTAAAGTAAAGAGTTGTCACTCCATTTATAATTTCTTCCCCCCTTTTTTTATCAAATTCCAAACCGAAACCCTATGAGGTTTTAGGATTTTATGGGCAATCCATTAGGGTTTTCGGTTTTAGGGTGGCCGAAAACACCCTCCTATCACACAAGGTTTGCGGTTTTTAGAGATATGGGTTCTCGGGTTTGTCATGGCCCAAATAAAAGAGTTTTCAGCCTAGGGTTAATTGGGCCAAGAATCTCTAAGCAAAGGCCCTCCAATTTGTTTTTGGTTTAGCTATTGGATCAAACTTGGGCTTATAAGAGGTTATTACAACTTGATTCTTAGTGTAAGCATATATGTATTCATATAGCATTGTCATTTTGAACTTCA